TGTACTTGAGCAAGCCTACTGGTGCAATCCAGATACTTATGTAACTCCATGATTTGCAGGAAACATTATTTATTTTAAAAACGTGCAACAACAACAAAAATACGGCGTTACCAACCGTTCGATACAACGTAATAGTATCTACATCTTTCATTGAGCCCAACACACGACACAGTTGAACAATTAGTTTGCTTTTCAAAGATGAATTATCTCATGGGATAACACGTTGAGCAAACACGTGAAATTTAAAGTTACGCATCGCAAATACCAGAATATGAGGTCCTGAAAATGAAGGTAATTAAGTATCATGTTTAATTTGTTAAATACATACAAATGTGGTTGTATAATGTAGCCATGAACTTAAGACAGGAGGAAGTTTTTTTATGTAGGAACAGGACCCAATGCAGCAACCTTACTTAGGTTGTAATTACACCGACTCCGTTGATGGAGCACTTTAGAACCGGGGCGGGGGCATTTGAAGCAGGAACTGCCCATCAGCAAGCAGGTACATTACAGGCCTTTAAGTAAAACGGTACTACGAAATAACTATTCTTGTACTACGGACTGTCTCAAAGAAAACGCGAGGGAAAAAAGTGACAGGACAAAAATTAATATACGCAGTTTCAACCGTCCTTCAACTTTAAAAATAAAAGAAACACTTGAGTGGCATGAATGCCAGTGGGAGTCACAAAATATTGTAGGATTCAGTCTTTCGGAACAACTATCACTGGTTCAAACAGACTAGTTAAAGGTATTTTAATGGCATGACACAGGATCGTTTTACGGCAAAAAAAAACACATGCCAAGTGAGTTATTTAAAATTTCAAGGATTATTAAAGATCTCGTTGCATTGGAATCATGGAAAACACAGTAAGGAATTCGATGAACGCGGAGCTCATGTTTCCGCTTTCGCAAGAGCTAGTAACACTTATTTTTAGCACGCCCATCGCGTAATTTGCGACGTAATAAATCCTAACAATAGAATTCACGCGTCACTCACTATTAAGGAAATGTCGTGGCTCAATATACGCCATGACTTATAAACCTTCATGCCTCCCACGATGCAGAAATATATTGTGAAATTAAGACATACTTGTAGCGAACAGGGGTCTCATTTTGGAAGTCCACGCCATATCGACATCCATCGAGACTGAACATGGACAAAAATGAGCAGAATGAAACATCCGTCAAGTTGTGACTGCAGCTTAATTACGCACTACGCCAACACGAATGGCAGAACGGAAGTAATCCACGCATTCTTAACGGCAGCACAAGATGGAAGTCAGCTGTCAGCTTCATACCCTGGCCGCTTTACCCCGACGGAGGTTGGAGGGGTGTCTAGAGCAGCTATACTTGAGATGGAAACGATAAAAATCCCTGTACATGCCGAGAATCGAACACCAGTCTTCCAGTAATTCCAACACAAAAATCACACACGTCAACCCACTCGGATTGGGAATTTTGGGCTCATGCGCCCGCCTAAGTTGGGGTATATCAGTGATACCATGAAATCTTAAAAAGTTTTGTGGAACGTAATTTCGCAAACGGCACTGTTCTTCAAACATCAGTAGAAGACTGGCAGATGGCTCGTTGCGACTCA